CTCTGCACGAGCCCAAACAAAATAATTAGGATAATTTTCACAGTGGCTGAGCACCATAAATTCAACAAATACTAGGGACTGTCTAGGCACATAGAATGGATGGAACTATTGGTCATTCCCCGTACTCATTCAGTAGTATTTGTGAATTCCCGCAGTCCTAACTCCCTTCTTTCTCCTAGTGGAAATGAAAGAAAGGCTGTGTATGACTTCCTTCTGATTCATTGGTTCCAATAAAATTGTTAGGACTATCTCTCCCGCTGAACGATTGTCAGTGTCTAATCTGAAAAGTAATCCACACTTTCCAGTACTCCACATGGAACCCCAGTCATTCAAATAGTTCAACCGCATTGACTTCCACCCCTCCCTTCCTTTCAAAAGGAGTTCTTGAACCATTTCCCACACTTTCCATAAAGAAATGAATACAGAAGCAGAGCCATGCACCCCACAGTTCCATTCCCAGAACCTGTAACTCCAGCTTCTCAGTGTCCACAGCAAATTCCCTCTCCCTCGCCTCTCCCCTTAACCCAACCCTCACCCCTACCGTTTCCTCCCCACCCGCCGCCCCATTTCCAGTCCAGTGTGTCACTCCAGGGAAGCTCCAACTACTTTTTTTCTGTTTTAATCTTGTCAACTGCGGTCAGCGTCAGCGTTAGCCGCCGAACTTGGTCTGCCTGGGCCATGAGGCTGGGGGAGATGCGGGGGGGGCAGCCTGGGGGGAGGAAGGCTCTCATCTGGAGCTAGGGTGAGGCGCCCCGAGGTGAGGCCAAGCCCATAGTCGGCCCCTCGCAATGGCCCCACCCTGGACGACACCCTATGATCCCTGAGCCCCGAAGGGGGAAGAGGGGCATTTTCCTGCCGGCCCGCCCGAAGGGAGGGGAAAGCACGGGAAGGCAGCACCCCCCGGAGGCAGCCGCCGACAGCGGACGCGGCGGCAGGGAGAGCAGACCGCGCCGCCGGGCTCAGGAAGTCCGGAGCCGGGAGCAGCCCGACTCCGGCGGCGGGGGAGCAGGGGGCGCGGGGAGAGAGCGGAGCCCGCGGCGCCGGGCAGCCAGCGCTCTACTCACACGGCTGGCGGGCGGCGGCCGGGGCGCGCACACAACTTGCCGTCTTCCGCGGGCGGAACATCCACGGCGCAGAAGAGCGTCCTTCCTCCTCGCCGCTGTCCCTAACAGCCGCGGCCACCCCGGGCCCGCCTCGGGGCAGAGAACGGCGTCCGGCCGGAGGCGGAGGGTCTCCCGAAGGCCCGGCTGCGCCGCCACCCGCGGAGCCCCCGCTGCCCGCGCTCTCCGAC